AGCGGATATCTAACGGCATCCTTCTATGCAAACGCCTGAACAACTTTGGAATATGAGTTGGTGTGGTCTTGTATGGATGCCGGACTCTTTCATTTCGCATTTTGACGTTGGGACTGCTTGTTGAAGAACAGAGGCTGCGTCATAAGCATTAGTTGAACCACAGGGCAGGGCGAAAGAGTGTTCATGCGCTTGCATAAATGCTCCTCACCCTCTGGCCCTGCGAGTACCCAAGCCGACCTCTCCTCTTATTAGCCCCTCTGAATGGCTAGAAGTGTCGACCTGCAGCACATTGGCAGGAGGCACCTGAACCCCTCTGCGCCGGGGGACCGAAGGGTACGGTACCTAGCTCACCTGCAACTGCAACTGCAACTCACCTGCACCTCAACTGCACCTGCACCTGCACCTCCTGCTGCAAATGCACCTTGCGTTCCATTCTCCTCCACCTTTTGCTGCGCTGTGCTATACCAACCAGGATCAACCGAACCGACATACACGGGCCGCCAACAGGGGGATGCTCGCTTGCCATACTCATAACCTTTCTTCAGCACAGCAACAAACTACCCACTCATCACCTCAAGCCGCCCTCAACTGGACTTGGAGGAGATGGCCCTTCCCACTGCCTTTCCCACATTGCTTCCATGCGTCGCTGGCACAAGTCGGAGCCATGGCCACCTCCGCAGCCCATCCACCAATAGACTGGGGTCGCCCGGCCCGACGCATACACATTTATTACCTACCAGGTACTGAAAAGCACCCAGGCGAGGTAGAACCAGGGTTGCCATTGGAGGCACTCTCGAAGCTTTACTGGCCCTGTAAGCCTGCCACCGCCGCCCAGAAGCGTAGCACGGAGAGGCTGTCGATCGGACATGAGTAACCTGGTCGCCTGCTCGATTACCTTAGGACGCTACAGCACATCGAAGGCTAGGTCCCCTAGCTTGTGCCGATCCTCTGCCAGACCACCACACCCCCCTCTTCTCCAAAAACCGCGCCCTACCAACCTTTTGACCCTCACGACCCTTCCAGCCCATCCGTCCCTCGGTCCAGCGTCGCAGCCTACGGCCTGCCATTGTAAAGAATAATTCTGCCCGTCACTCGGCACTGAGCCCTCATTCCGGCATCGACGCTCTTGGAAGATCAGCCTGGCGATCCCTCAGAAAGGGTTCCGAGCATGTGGCAACGCGGCAAGCAGGCAAGCAAGCAAGCAAGCAAGGCACAAACAGGCACAGATGGCCACCATGACGTTCCATGGCCATCTCCAGGTGTCCTCGTGAAGGCTGGCGTGGTGAATCCTATTCCATCGGCTTGCGCCGTCCGACGCCGGTGCATCGACACTTCGAGACCACCACGAGCTGACGCCTCCCCTCTCCCCCCTTGGCTATTCTCCGGCCGCCTGCGTGCTTCCCGTTTCTAGTCTGCGTTCTGTCTGTTGTGTGCACTCAGACCAGGACAGTTTTCTCCCGTAGGCCTGCAGGCTGTGTCTTCCGACCCCATGCGACTGCTGTCAAGCCACAGAACTGTCCGAGGACGCGGAGGAGGGGGGCGGGGCCATCGTGCGGCCACGCCCCGTTACTTCATCGCCGATCCCTCCTCCTTTGTTCCCCCATCCCCACGGGGGAAAACTGGCGCTCCGAGCTGCGTGTCGTCAAACGCCCGGCATGGGGTTTGTCGCGAGACTCGCAGTAGATATCAATCTACTGCAATGATCTGCGCCTTCTGGATCCCGTCGAAGCAACGACGAGCGACACATGTGCTGTACAGAATTGCCATCTTGCCAACTTGGTCGACAAGACCACAAATTTTGCTTTTGCTTGGCCACCAGAAGGACTATTTAGTTGAGTTTTGCAGGGGCGCTTGGGCGTCACCAGATTTGGGGGACCTGAGTTTATGCTGAATATCCAATTGAACAGGTGGGATTTCACCATCTTTTTCGCCACGAGCATCCATCCGCCTTGTTGCTCATGAAACAAGACAAGATGCGTTTTAGCTGGGTCACGGTGAAATCCTTCTCGTACTAGCATGGTGGGAACTAATCGAATCCATATCAAAGTTGTGAGGCAAATGTGCATTGGCGTGGCGTCATCCAGCAGGCTGGCTGATGGGAGGCAGCACTAGAGGCAGTCCGGCAACGGGTGTCGTCAGAAGGGTGTGGCGGAAGGCTAGGCCGGGTGGGCAGCGCCTGCGCCGTTCGCCGACGGTTTTGACACAAACGCCACCTCCAGTCAGACGCATTGCATTGATCATACCAGACTCTGCTGCAGCGTCATCCTGACAGCGACTGCCAAGGCAATGGGCAGTTCAACTCGGCCAGCCATGTTCTCATGCGCTCTCGCAAAGTCACGCCCAGCGTTCGGTGTTTGCATGTACAGCAGGTGGACATGCTCGCAAACAGCCCAAGGAACCAGATCAGTGTGGCCAGAAATGACCAAGTTCAGGCTGGAGAAAAAAACAGGTTCTCATCAAGTCAAGTGCCGCGAGATGCCAACGTTCGTCACAACTCAAGATGCCATGCCCGTCCGTGCCACAGGGAACGTGGTGAGCACCGTTGTGACCCCGCTACATGAGCATTGTACACCCAACCTGGCCTGGGCCTGGCCGGAGAGCAAAAGACGCGAGGGGGCTACCCCGGATTCCCCACGCATGGTAGCCCGCATCGTAGATTAAACCACGCCATGTCGCCGGCGCTGCAACGGTGCACGGAAGAACGAGAGGAAAACGGAAAGGAGGGGAGGAGCGCAGGTTGACCGGTCAATGGTGATACGATGCCGTGCATGGATTTCTGGTGACGACCCGCATCAGCGTGCAGCGAGTGCGGGTTCCAGACCAGGCCGAGGGTTCGAGGATCGATCTCCCGCCATGTAGCTGCGTGTTTGGTCGATGGAGGAACAGACGAAGGGAACCCGACCGGCAGTAACGGATCCCGGCGTACAGGCTACGAACGACATGGGCGGAGATGCAACGGCGCGACGGTCGGGCCAATGATGAGACGCCATCAAACGGTGGCACTCCCCTTCGCCTGGATGTGTACCATGTCGACAAGATCTCAGTCGTCTGAGTGCCTGCACGGCTGGAACCCAGCGGCGGCTGCGCGGATGACGCCCCCTCCCTTGTGCATCTGATGTCTTCGACACTTGTTGAGACGTCAGTCAGTCTTGCGCTCCGTGGCGGCTCATGCACCCTTTTGCTGACAGCCCAACTAGCACGACCACATTGGACGTACGTCAGTGGACGAAGGATTCTTGCTTCGCTGTACATCAGCCTACGCTCGACACACAATCCTCCGGTTGATTTAAGAGTGTGGTGGGGGGTCGGTCAAGGAGTCGTTTCGATTCGTTTGAATCGTAGGTATCAAAAGTACACTGGCAGGAATGACACGCCCGCCCGCGCGACCAGGCCCCCATCTCATGCTTCATCGTACACCATCCCACACCGCAGGGCCAAGTGACAGCTCGCCCGACAGCAGGACTCAAACTCAGGCCGTAGCAGCCTCGCCCTTTTGCGCCTTGAGCTTCTCCTCAAACTTGGCAAACTCCTCGAGCGCAATGTCCTCCTCGGGGTCCATGACCTGGTTCACGCTCTTGACCTCCTCAATCTGCATATTTGTCAGTACGCAACAGGCAGAGCTTATTAAAAAAGAAAAGAAAATGAGAGAGAGAGAGAGAGAGAAAGAGAGAGAGAGAGAGTACTCACATAGTGCATGAGCATGCCCTCAATGCCATTCTTCAGCGTGACGGTGCTCGAGTCGCACGTGCGGCACGCGCCGCGCAGCTTCAGCAGCACGACGCCGTCCTCGAAGCCGCGAAACTCAATGTCGCCGCCGTCCTCCTGGATGGCGGGGCGTATCCTCGTCTCGAGCAGCTCCTTGATCATGCCGACGACCTCGCTGTCGTCCTCGTTGTAGGCGAGGCTGTCCTCCTCGGCGGGCGCGGCCTCGGCGCCGTCCTTGACGACGACGAGGGGGGCGCCCGACGTGATGGCCTCGGTGATGAGGGCGAAGATTTCGGCGCGGACGTGCGCCCAGTTGGCGTCGGCGGCCTTTGTGACGGTGATGAAGTCGGCGCCGTAGAAGACGGCCGTCACGCCGTCGATGGCGAGGAGCTGGGCGGCGAGCGGCGAGGGGTGCGGCGGCGCGATCGTGGCGCGCGGGTTGAGGTACTCGATGTAGGGGACCGTGATGCCCTCGGGCAGGACGCGGTGGTTGGGGAGGAACTTGAGGGCGTCGGGGTTGGGCGTCGGCTCGGTCTGGATGAAGATTGTGCGGCGCTGGGAGGGAAGGGTTGTGGCGCCCGTCTTGCGCAGGACTGATGGTCGGGAGGACGACGAGGAGAAGGATGTGAGTGTTCGGCGCGTGGTGGCTGTTCGGGATGCTGTGCGGAGAGACGGCGCCGCTGCCCTCGCCGGGCGGGCCAGGGCTGTGAGGAGACGGGTCGCACGGTAGGGAGTCGACATGTTGTTTTCCTTATGTCCCCAGGGATGTCCACTGATGGCGAAAGGGATTGAGTGAATGTGGTGGTGTTGTGGTTGGTGTGTGAAGTTGAGAATTCAATGTTCGACTCGGCGCCGCTGCCATTTGGTCTTTCAGCGGCAGGGTCCAGCGAGAAGGAGAGAGGCGACCGAGCTTTTTCGCCGCTCACTGCCGACGCATTACCAATCCTCCAGTGAGTGGGCTCCCAGTGAGTGGGCTCCATCCCCTCCTGCTCTCTCTCGGCCCTACGCTGCCATGACGCAAGGTGGAGGAGACTGGCCCACGTCTTCCGATGAACTCCCGATTGGGCGTGGCCCGGTGGAGTCCTCGACCGCTGGAAGCTCCCTTCTTCTTCCCCTTGCAGGGCGCAGAGTGCAAAGCGCGGGGAGAGAAAGCACGACGGGCCAGCTACTTTTTTTTCTGAGCCTGTGGTGGTTCTCTCTACTCTGGCCGACAACGGCTTCACCTCAGCCTCTCCCCGCCACCAAACCTCAACCTCAACCTCCCTCTGACGACCTTCTCGACTCCGGGGCATCTATTTCTTGCTCAAGCTTTCAATTGAGCTAGGACGGCAGGGCCCTGTTACGCCGGGCGAGGCAACATGTCGGTGCCCGAGGAAGCGCTTGCCGGCGGCGATGACAGGACGACCCATCCGACAGCCATGGAGGTGGACTCGCCGGTCGAAGCCACGCCTTCCGAACCCAATGGCATCGCGGCAGTCGACACGAATCCACCCGTGACAAACGGCACCGACACGAATCCGCCCGTGACAAACGGCACCGACACGACTGTCCAACCCTCTACCGACCAAGCGCCCAACGGCGAATCAGCAGGTGCCAACAACCCTCCACCACCGCCACCGCAACCGCGCCTCTGCGGCGTCTGCAACGAAAAGCCCGGCAAATACAAATGCACGCGCTGCAGCCTCCCCTTGTACGTCGTCACCTTGCAGCTTCACATCTCCATCTCATAGGAAGGGTGGTCTCATGCTTCATTATCATTCAGTGTCTGCTAACACGCTCTTCTTTCCTTCCGCGCACAGCTGCTCCGTTCCCTGCAACAAGTTCCACCGTGAAAACCATCCACCAGATTCCGAACCGGCTTCTCCAGGCCCGGAACCGACGCCCGCTGCTGCGCCGGCTGTCGAAGGGCCGCCGAACCCGTTCCGCACCTTGAGCAACTCGGATCAGCTCCGCTACCTCTTCCGCCGCTACCCCAACCTGGCCGATCAGCTACTCGCTATTGGCGCCAAAGCAGATCCGCCGCCGGGCGAGGCGCCGCCGACGACCTTCAGCCAGGTCATGGCGGCGCGGGCCGCGGCCGCGGCCGCGAGCGGGAAGCACCAAAAGAAGGAGCAGTGGAACCATGACGTGGGGATCCGCAAGGGCAAGGAGGCGCTGCGGGCGGCGCGCAAGATCGAGGGCGAGGCGGGGGAGGGCGTGAGGGAGTACACCGAGCTGGTGCTACATCTTGTTGCGCAACACGAGGCAGCCGCGGCCGCCGCGGGGGCGCGGAACGTCATTGTAGACGGATCCTCAACAAGGCAGGATGCCGAGCTGATCAAGAGGTTGTTGGATGAAGATACCCGGTGATCAGGAAATTAGAGAGCGTGGCGTAACGAGGCCGACTTTGGCGCCTCGGAAGAAGGGGAGGGGGTTCAGGATAGACCTCTCTTTGTACGAGTATTTTGGTCATCGGCATGGGGCGGCGTTTTACAGGGCCAATGGCAGGCATCTGGTGGTGCCTTTTTTCTGTTCTTGCTCGATCATCATCATTAAGTCCTTTCCGATCTCTGGCAACCTCACTTTCGAGTCTCACATTCAGTCATTGTGTTTGTCGCGAATCTTAGTGGCTGACCCTGAAGCGCGCGAAGAACCCAGCCTTCGGCGACTTGAACGACTCCCCCACACCCGCCGGCGTCCCCTTGTCGTCGCGCGCGTTCTTGCTCAGGCTCCCGAGCCGACCGCGCAGTGTCCAGATAGAGTCGGCCTTGCGCAGCAGCGGCGTCGAGCGTGTCTTCGGCCTCTCGTCGCTCTGCGTCCAGTCGACGCGGTGCTCGTTGACGTCATGGGGCGGCACCTCTGGCTCGTCGGCGGCTCCCTTCTCGTTGCCATGCGGCCTACCGAGGAGGTCGCCTGTGCTGACCCGCCGCGCCGCGTCATCGCCATGCAGCTGCTCCTCCGTCGCCTGGGCCCCACCAACGGCCGCCATCGCCATCGGGCCTTCGATGGTGTGCCTCTGCGGGTAGCGGCCCTGCAAGTCGCCCGCCTCACCCGCGGCGGTGGCAGCCTCGAGGATGCGATTGCGCTGCAGCGTCTGGCTGTGCTGGCTGTGCTGGCGACCGTGGGTCCTGTCGTGAGGAGCGTGCGTCTTGCGAGCCCCGGACCTCGTGCGCGCCGGGTGGCTCGGGGTCAGGTCGGCTGACGTCATGGTGCTTGGGGCCGCGACGGTGAGCGGGTGCTGGCGCGGGATCGGCGGCATGGCGACGCCGGGGTCTGTCCCGGAGCGGTGGGACCTGGTGGCGGTGGTGGTGGTGGTGGTGTTCATGGCTCTGCGCGAGAACATGTGAGCCAGGTCCTGGTGTGCCATGTCGGCGGCCGTCGTGGTGCGAGCAAACTGCGTGGCGGCGACGCGGGGAATGTACGAGCCGTTCTCATCCTGAAGAGGTGGTGATGTGGAATTGACTGCCCTGGCGGCTGTTGGTCGTTGTGGCGACTTTTTCGTAACGGCGCCTGTAGAGAAGGCGTCTTGTGGACGAGAAGAGGAGGCGGCCGGGTGGCTGAGGGCTGGCTTGGGGTATCGCGTAGAATCCGTCTCGGGTGCGCGCCTCCTCTCGGCATGAGCCTTTTGCTGTGCGAGAACGATGGACAGTCTTCTTGAGAGGTCTTCGGGGTCGAAGGGGACAGGCTGCGATGGTTGCTGTGATGGGCGAGGTTTCGGCCGATCCGTCGTTTGTGTTGGGCGCAGCAGGTGAGTCTTGACAGAGCCGGGCTGGTCCTGCGGTGGATAGTTCATGTTGTATAACATGTCGCACAGGATATGGTTTCGTGTTAGGTGGGTGAGTTAGTGAGTAAGTGAGAGGTAGCAGTGGTGGGTTTGTGTCTCTGTCACATGTGCCAGAGCGCTTTAGCGTTTGAGGTTCCGTTTTTGGCCTGAAGCCCGACGTAGGCAGTGACGATTCGAAGTCGAGTTTGCTTTGTGGGTTGGTTTAGGTGAGGTGAGGCCTAGGAGCTGTAGGAATAGGCAGGTGGTTGGAGACTGGAAGGAATTGGACTTCCTAGTCGAGGCGAGAGGCAGGGAGGAGAGAGGGGGGGGCAAGGAGTTATTATGTGTGATAACAGAAGCGTGGTAAGAATCGAGAATGCGGCGCATAACGCAGAACGTAGGACAAACGACGCAGGGCAGGACCACCGAGAAAAGGTTGTGCCGCCTTGCCGCCTCGAACAAAAAAAAAAAGGGTAGGATGGATGGGCCCTGGGCTTCGTGTGATGTGTCTCTTATTAGCACGGGCGGAACAAAGCAAGCCAAGGTAACAAGGTAACATAGGTGAGTCGACTCACATGAGACCATGTAGACGACGACGCTGGATGGAGACGGTGTGTAAGTGATACGAGGAGGACACCAAGGGCTCAGGTCATGATGGACGCAGGGTGGTGGATCCGAGGGGAAAGCGCAAAGTCTGGATGGGGCCTTTGTCTAGGATGAGCGTGGGCGGCGCCACTCAGAGGGAAACAGAAGCAACAGTTGCGTTGAGTTAGGTTGGAAGAGGGAGAAGGAGAGGGGTTCACAAGCTTTTTGCATCTGTACCTGCCAACATTGATCCCTCTGCACTCTCGCTCCTTGCTCATCCTGACCTGCTCGCAGGGTAAGTGCCTAATTGAAGGCAGGCAGGTACCTTCCTTACCTACCTTACTGTACCTACCTGCCTTACCTAGGTACCTAGGTAGACCATATGCAGTGCACACCACCACACATGCAGACACAGCCGTCTCGAAGAAGCGTCCTGCGTGGGGTGGTGGGTGTTCGACGCTGCTCGATTCGGCATGGAGGGAGTCATGGGTTAAGCGGGTTGGTGCTCGCGTGACGGCAGGTGTAGCTGGGTAACATGTAGGTCTTCGCAAGCAAAGAAAAAACCACATCATTCGTCCAATGGAACCATGCGCTGCCCTGTGCCGTCTCGCTTGTTGGGCGAGTGCGCAGGGGGGGGCTTGCAGGAAATGACCAGAGGTTCCAGGTCCCCCACAGTGCAGAGGCCACCAAAGCTCAACTGGAACCAGCCCGTAGTCTCCCCCCTATTGAAGCGCCACAAGCCACAAACCATTCCCACCTCAGTACTCTCGCGCAGACGGGATCCTCTCCTCACATCAATCACAGAGCCATCTCCTACGCCAAGGCACGTAAAGCTGTGGTGATGGCCGCATCATTTCGTGGGCAGAACATGCAAAGCCACCGCACACTCTGGCCCGCATCGCCAAGATTCAGAGCGTGCTTCTACCATAGCCGTAGACCGACCTCAGGACGTATGAAGTCGCATCGGAGCTGATCGATTCCACATTCAGTCTTGCCCCCCCCCCCCATCCGACTCCTGTCACCTATGCGCTAAATCCCCAGGACCCCTGGACTCATTTCAACTCTGGCCCGTCCTTACTACTTTCTCCTGTATCCAGCCTGGCGGCGGGGTCATCTACTGCTGGCCATCTAGAAACGCCTGCTCCCTTCAGCACGCCCATCCACAGGCGCGTTTCAACCTCCACTGGTTGCGCTTTTGTCGATCCCACTTCGGGGCCGCTCGAAAACACCAGATACAGATGCCATTCCGACGACGCCCGCAATCTTACCAGACGACTATCAAGCCCGTGGCACGGCCATCGTGCTCCGTGTCCGTTGCGCCTTTTGCGCCAGGAGTCGAGGCCAGTGCCAGTCCACAGCCTCGAGAATACAAGCTACTTGGGGACACAATGATTGACTATCTATTGAATCTGGAGCTAGCTAGACCTGCGTCTTGGTTGAGCTAGCTCCGTGTTGTCAGCTAGCATGACTGGACGCAAACCAGCCGCTGGGTTTTTTTTCTTCAGCAATGAGTTCGACTAACCTAGCCCAGGCTCGTGACCTCGGTTCAATGCCACCCGTTGGAAGTCGCCTCGTTCTCATGTGCTGCTGTGTAACGCACGACTCGATTAGTTTCTGGCGTGGCCACACCTGGGGGGTTTTGCCTCTCCTGCCCGAGGACAGGTGGGGCCATCGATCTGCACCACGGCAGTCCGGGTGATCATTTACAAACATAACAAAACCTCCGATGGCTAACGACGGAGATGAAGATCACCGAGGGCGGACTGCAACCGACCTGCTCGCTTCTTCCACTCGCCCTCACGATGGCGCGGTAAGACGGACGACATACTAGCAGAACATCAGTACTGGTGCCTCACAACTTTCGAGGCGCCGCTCTTAAGACCATACTGTGGCCTTAGTCCTTTGACACAAGGCAGGTAAACATGATCGACCTTCTGCTCTGAAGTGAGTGCGACATGGCAACGATGTATGTAGCAGTCGAATAAATGAGGTGCCATCATCCATCGAAGCATGAATCAAGGCACAGCTGCTAGTCATATATGCATTGGCAGCCAACAAGACGAGCCAACGCCACCGAGGCGCACACGTGGAATGCTAGATTCTAGAGTCAAACCTTTGAGTCAGCAACGAGTAATGAGCGAGGAGCCATGATTCACGCTGCCTCTACTTAAAGCTCTCGCCGGCAGTCGCTGGTGATTCAAGCTTCATCCCCAAGTTGCCGTTCCGCAACTTTCGATGGGCCAGCACTAGCGCAGCCGTGGCCTTCGTAGCTGTGGCCCTGGCAGCCTTCTAGTTTTGAGTCATGATGCGTTTGTTACCAAACACTAGATGCAAACCTCCTCGCCATCAAGCTGCAACGCCGCGAGCTACCCCACAGTAGGATCATCGCACATATGAAGCTCACGCACCGCAAGGCCATACACGGAGAAATCAATAATGAGTGGCCTGAGCGATCTGGCATTGTCGCACATCATTAGGTTCAGATAGCCCGCGACGAAATGGCCCGCGCTTGTCTCACATGCAGGCATGGCCAGATGAAGGGCGGGCATTGGAGCCATGCTTGTGGACATTACCCCGATTGACGGCTCTCACAGCTGATGCTCATCTAGGTGCTGGCTAGCTGACACTGTTGGTATACGAAGCAGCCACTGACGTGTCTCCAGAATCAGCATTCGTTCACAAGCGTGGTATCGAGAGCTCGAAACAAGAGCTTAAAAGCTAGGACTAGAGGTCGTTGAGGCTCGGGGTTTTCCAGGTCTCCGCAAGCGCGATCTAGTGGGCATTCGAGGCCGAGACTTATGTGCTCTTTGTTCTCGATTCGTTCTGGCGAGAAGCTCTCTCCAGCGTGCGATGATCGTTTAAACCTAGACGAGCTGTTGGCGTGCCAAAGAGGCGCCTCGTGGGAGGTGCGGGTCGGGTCGATTG